GAAATAGCAAATAATCAATACAGGTTTACTTCAAAATTTACTTTCTTCTTCTTTGTGTGGCATGTGTTACAAAGTGTTTAGAAGGTTGTAAGGGGGAGATAGATCAGAAAATACATTAAACAGATTTGGGAGGGGGTGGTTACAAAGTTAGAATTTCTGAGTCATGAAAACATCAGATAGCACTTTCAGAAAGGTGTCACTTTATTTAAAACTGAGCTGCCGTGAATTCTATCATGCTGCAGACACCTCTGAATCAACCATCTCTGTTGGCAAATTGTTGCACTGACAAATTCTCATATCCACCGAATATTTCCATTTTGTACACCAGTGAGTGGGCTCTGTTTGGTCCAGCTCATATCCTAAGCTTTGGGAAATTGGGGAAGTGGAGTCTTGGCTTCACTGGGCATGTATTATTCATTTCTCACATTGGCAAAGAAGATTCAAATATTTATCACCAAATCAGAGAACCACTGGGAGCATGAATAACAATATTATGTCTGATATCCTTTCTCAAGTTTAAGAAATACAAACAGCATTATCACTGGCTTTACTCTCCAGGAGAGACAGAGTGAGTGGTATAGTATGTTACTTTGGAATGTTTTAGTTTTTCTTTTATAACACGAGGAGGCTTTGTTTTAAAGAGACCCACTCCCAGTAGTACAAATACAGAAAAAAAAATGAGAAGTTTTCTGGTCAGGATATTTAATGATCAGTGAGTGTACCTAAAGGCAAATTCTGGAGCAGAGTCACTCACTCTTAATAAGCTCTTGTTGCTGATTTTTCCAGATTCACTATCATAACAAGCAGCAGGAACTAGACATGTAATACCACCAACAGCTAGGTGAAAAATCATAACCTTCACAGCAAGTAGATGAAGTACATCTGCATGCCATGGACTAGAACAAGCAAAGTACATATCTATCATGCTAAGATATAGACACATAAAAGCGCTACACAGCAATGCCAGGTACTGGTGGCTCAGGCTTTTAATCCTAGCTACTCAGGAGGCTGAGATCTGATTATCGCAGAAGCCAGCTGGAGCAAGAGTGTCCATGAAACTGTTACCTCCTATTAACCACAAAAAGCTGAATGTGGAGCTGTGGCTCAAGCGGTAGGCCAGCCTCGAGCACAAAAATGCTTAGGGTCAGGATCCAGGCCCATAGTTCAAGCCCCAGGACCAGCAAGGAAAAATAAAGGTATACTGAAGACCTACAGAGGTGTCCAAATACAGACATCAGACTGGCACATAAGAATTTCTGGGCCCAGACACTAGATGGAATGCAATTGAATGAAATACCTACTGCAGCTCAATAGTGTCTTAGTATAAAAGAGATTCTTAGCATAGGAATATCACCAGATACTAATTGTTTTTCTTGTTGTTTAATAAAATTAATTTTCATGGGAGGAGCATTACTTGTGTATCAAGAGGACATGGATTCCATGATCATAAGACTGTTTAGTTCAGTGAATAGAAAGATGCTCAGAGTCATTTTATCTTTGCACAGCAGTGCTTCATCAAGGGCAGGGACCATTGTTTTATAATGATTCAAGCTTTCTTCATGGGCTGTAATCTGTTCACCAGGTGTAGTAGAGAAATGAAGAGGAGAATGCTTGGTCCCAGGTGCATGTTTTTCTTATACTTTTATCTTCATATTTCAAGATGTTTAAAATGATCTAGCCTACCTCTGGAATGGAATGGATATATCCCTTTGGTCTTATAAGAAAACAACAAAAACAGGAAAAAAAAGAAAACAACAAAAATAGAAGGAAAGAAGAAACTCAGAAGAGCATAGTCCTGGGTGATCTTGTCACCCCATTTCCTTATCCAGAAAGCAGACATGAAAAGCAGCCTTTCATACCTGTGATCTGGGCTTGCCCAGTCATTGTTCAGGCTCTTAAAGATGATGGCCAGGGCCAGATGTGAGCAATTAGCAAATGGAGTTGTCATGTTGCAAAGATTACTAGGACAGTGGCATTATCCCTAGGCCTGACTGTCCTATTAATTAGTTATGACCTTGCACAGCTCATTTCATGTTTGGGGGCCTTGGTTTCCGCATGTGCAAAATGTAATTAAACTTTCAATATTTAATAATTAGGAAAAAAGGTAAAATGTTCATCTTATACCATTCATGATCTCTCTTTTTTTCTCTCTTTTCTCTATTTATCCAGTGATTGATCAATCAATCAATCATTCTGATTCCTCAAACGGGGGAATTCATAGTTACATGTTATCACCATGGTATCTCCTCCCTTGTATGCCAAGAAATGAATTTCTATGCTTTGAGATGTTAGCAAGGATGATGTGAATGAAGATTGTAGTGAGTACGTGTGTCTGTCTGTCTGTCTGTCTGTCTGTCTGTGTCTGTGTGTATATATATGTGGGGGGGGTCAATGATCAGCTGTTCTTGTGCAGAAACCTCTTGGATACTCCCAAAGCAAGGCTGTTCTACCTGTAGTGCTGCTGGTTGATAAAGCCTCTCTAAGCTCTCTGCCTCATGGACAGTGTGACAGTCTCTCTCTTCTGCAGCCCTGGTCTGCAGATGCTAAACTTCAGCCTGTCTAGAACAGTTAATTAGGTTATTGAGCCTGCCAAGAATCCCAAAGTCATCCAAAGTAAATGCAACACTGAGTTTTGAAGCAAAGGTCAGAAGACATGACTACTAATTCTATTTTCAAGAAATAAATCAATAAATAAGTGAGGGTAGGGGTGAGGAGGAAAGACAGGTCCAGAACAATCTGGCAACTTCTTATCCATTTTCCATAGACAGTGTTGAGAGATCAGGCATAATGTAGTCCTGGCTCCTTGCCTTTGTAAGAGATACTATATCTTCATAAAGGCTGAGACTGTAACAGATGCTATAGATTCATAACCCTCTCCCATAGCTTCAGTGCTAAAGGACAGAATGAAACCTCTGGATACCATTCCTGCTGGAGAATGTTCCCACCAGGAAATGATGAGTCTGGACAGAGAAAGATAATTGCTATATTGAACTAATTGAACAAATAGCTGAGAATACTTAACGCTGGTTTATGGATGGCATCACATTATCACTGCAGGTCCTCAGTGGGGGGAGAGTGGAGAGGCAGCCTTGAAAACCTACAAACCCATTTTCCCCAAAAAGGTGACCTCAGCACTTGTGTGTTGTGTGCTGGGTGTGCTCACAACATAAACATCCCTGCATAGGACTTCACTGCCACCAGCAGGGCCCAGAGGAAGTGCAGGCCAGGAGGATGCCAGGTGCTGCTGGAGTAGAAAAGGAGCCTGAGGCTGAGAGGATAAAACTTGCAACTGAGAGCCTCATCTGCACCTTGCAGCCCTCTCCACAGCTTGTAGATGTTGTCCCTTCTCTCTAAAAACACAAAGGCTAGAAGCTCAGAAAGAGGGATTTGTAGGCCAGACTCTAAGAATCACACACACAGGACAATCACACTTTTATTTGACAAGCTTCCCTTCCTCCCCCATTTATGCAGGATTTCAGCAAGTAGAGAGGAGGGGTCACCAGTTTTATTTACATCTGCATCCCAAGTCATCTGGGATGCACGTCCACCTTGAGCTCCCACCCAAGCTAGTACAGTCTGGGGTTCCTTCAGCCCACTCTCGGGGAGCCAACCTCAATCTGTGCACCGACTTGGAAAACCAATTTAAAGTTGTTGAGGGGTTTTTTTTTCTTCCTTAAATTAAAAAATAAAAATCTATGGCCCCAGGCCAACTCTGATTTCTGAAATTTCTATCCCAATCAGGGACCACCTGCACTATGCCAGCCCCTTGCTTGCATCTCGGGGAGTGCTAAAGGAGAGGCACCCCCAAGGGTGCCCACCCACCCACCAGGCCCAAGAGCGCAGCCAGGCATGCTCGCTGCTCTGCGGACCGCCCAGGAGCCAGCAGGCAGTCAGAACAGCAGGGGATGCGTCTCCGCCACAACAGGAAGGATCTCTGGGAGCCACAGGGCCCTCTGAGACTCCCCCCCCCCACCTCCTCCCCGCAGAGATTCGATCCCCGAAAAGCTCCATCACCTCGCGGCGAGGGGGGCGAGGGGCACGTGAGCGTCTGGGCTTTGACTATAAAATCCCCTGCTCGGAGGAGTGTGGGGGAGCCCCTGCTGCAAGACGCGGCGGCCACCTGAGCCAGGAGAGGCAGGGCGACAGGGACGCCCCCTCCTCCTTCGGATCCCCCCCGCCCCGCGATGGTTCGGAGATTGGTGACTTAAGTCGAACTTTGAGGCCGGACTCCTTGCGCGCAGACGCCCGCACGCGTGCATTGCAGGAGACGCTTAAGGGCTCGTTTGACCTTTCGGCGCGTCGGAGGGGGGCGGGCAGGTCTCTCGGGCTGATCGATTGTTTTTATATTTTATCCTCGGACAGGGAGGCGGCCCCGAGCACTGGGACTTTCCTCGGCAGATCCCGGGCGGCTCCTTGATCCACCTGCGCCCACTCCCACCCCACCTCCCCGGGTCCAAACCCCGGTTATTTGTGCGCTGCGCGGGAGGCGGGGTCCCTTCCCAACTCGGACATCTCCAAAAGTTTGATCCGCCGTCCTCAGCCGCTCAGTCCCCCTCCGCTGAGGCTCCGCTCAGTCCCCGCCGCCCGGAGGGTCTCCCACCCTCTCCACCCCACCCCCGGAGGGCGCGGGCGGGGAGATGGCCGCCGGCTCGGCCACCGGAGCGGGCTCTTCCCGGCGCAAACGGGCGCCGCGCGCGGCTCCCGCCGGGCTGCGGCGCGGATCCCCGGCGAGGAGCGAAGGCGGCCGCCCACCGGGGCCGGAGGCGGCGGCGACAGGGACCCGAGGGGTTCGTATGGCCGCTCCCTGCGCGCGGGTGGTGCGCGCCCCGGAGCTCGCCAGCAGCGCCGCGGGCTCGGAGCGGCTCTGAGCTCCGTCGTCTGCCGACGTCGCCCTAGCGGGTCCCGTGCCCCCTCCTCCCCACCGTCGCGGAGCCCAGACGCGGACAGGATCCCCGGGAGCAGCCGGAGGCGGTGGTGGCGGCTGTTCCTCCCACGGGGCGATGTGGCCGGCCGGCGCGGGCACCAAGCTGCCCTGTCCCCGGGACTCCGCGCTCCGGCGGGCGGCTTTCTCGGGCAACCTCACGGCCCTGCCTTCTCACCTGGTGCCCGCCGGCCGCAGCGTCCGGGTCTTCATCAGTGCCAATCCTGAAGGTAAGCTCTTAGGTGTGGGGTTGTCCGTCCTTCGGTCTGTCCTTCTGTCGGTCCGCGCGGCGGCGGCCGCTGAAGTGTGGGGCTGGCCCGGCGCATCCCCGTGCCTGCTCGCGTCCCCTGCGCTCCCTTCCTGCTGCCCAAAGCTGTGCAGCCCGGGGCGCGTGGGAATTTACCCGAGATCACACTTGGCTTCTTCGCTGGTCGGCTCGCCCTCTGGATTCCAGGACACCCATTCTCTACCCCCAGGTCAACAGGCGACATTCGCGGGCGCCTGTTAGAGACACCCCATTCGGCCTCAACACCACCTCCCCCGCCCCCCTTTTTCTTTTCCTTCTGCACTTTCTTCTCCCAGATTATCCCAGACGCAAATCCGAGTTCCTCTCTTGTCCTGGGTTCCTTTGCTGCTTATTCTGGCTGAGGGTTTTTTTTTGGGGGGGAGGGGGTTGTTTTGTTTTGTTTTGTTTGGGGGGATGTCCTTGAAACTCGCGTCTTGCGGAATAGATTGTAACCTCTGCCTGAAGCGGTTGGAGCAGTCCATTGTAAACTGAAGTCCTCCTGGGCGGCCAGGCGCTCTGGGGTCTTGGGGCAGGCTGGCGCTCAGCCCAGTTCTGGCTCAGCCTGAGCTGATTGATCCCTTCTAGCACTAGGCCTACTCAGCGGTGGTTTAGCCCAAGGCCAAGCACCTGGTAGGTAGGTGCTCAATGAAAACTTGTTGATTTATTTGCAGTCACAAGTCACTGGGACCAAGTGCCCGGGTCAGATTTGTGATGACCATCCCCTTTCCGTTCTCAGCCCTTTATGTGATCATCCATTCCCTGGTGGTGATTGGGAAGAAACTGTCTTTTATTAGGAATGAAAAGAACTGCAGGAGTTCATCTTTCCTAGTGGAATGGGCGGGGGGGAATATTTGAGCACAAGAAGGAGTGTATAGAGGACTCAAGATGTGAGAAATTTCATAATTAACTTTTTCAAAGAGGCTTTGGGTGTAATAAAAAAAAAAAGATGAAAGAAAGTTAACATTCAAATCATTCCTTAGGATCCTGAATTAGAAACTCAGGCCCTGATTGCTTGTGAAAAGAATCCAGAGAGGACCAACAAAAGTTAACTTTCTAGAAAATGATCACTCCCCCAAACATGAAGTTCCAAAGGAAGCTGTCTTGACAAAAGAATGTGAAAAAGAATCAGATAGGCAATGTACTAATACTAGAAGAATTGTGTGCTTCAGAAGAGGATGATCTTCCTTTTTTGAGTTTGCATCTCAGCTCACACAGAGTTTAACTGAGGAGACTTTGAGGAAGAAATGCTACCCTTTTCATAAATCATTCTATCTTGAATATATCATCCAGGATTTCTACCTAAATCTAAATTAAGTAATCATACAACTATGCAGTCTAATTTATGGATTTAAAGAAAGCTGTAAGTGAAATTTACAGTGATTGTAAAAAAAAGAAAAAAACCTGTTTTAGTAAGGTTTTTAAAGTGTTTGAGAGAATTATGTTAGAAAAACGTTTCACTTTTCAATTTTCAGTTTTCTAGAGCTTTGTAAAATGCCATATGAAGTGTTTAAATCTGTGGATACAATGCCAACTAAATCACTGTCTTGTCCCTTGGACAAGCGCTTCTACAATTCTGTGAGAACTCTGTCAATTCATCAGTAGTTAATTAGGTTCTTGCATCACTAGATATGACTGATGCTAAATATATACTGTGAGCTTAATATTGGACTAATGTTCAAAATTGATGTCAATTTTTTCTTAAATGTATCCCTGTCACTCTTCAAACTTTCTAGTTGCTTACAATAACATATGCATGCAGTAAGCCTAGGAAAGCCAACAGGACAGGTATGCTACTCATGCCATTTGGTCTTTGGATTTTCCTGGACAGCATCCATACTGATCTTTAAAAGGCCAGGAATGTGAAGCTTACCTGGGAAGTTTCAAGAGAGGCAGGATCTCAAATGTTCTTCAAATTGAAAAGCCAAATGCTATACTGAAAGAAGGTAGAGCTGGGCATTTTTAATGATCTGAGCATGAAGCCTTAAAATCTTGGCAAAAGCTCTCTCTGAGGCAAGCACTTTCCTGTCACATCTTTCTGGATGCAATTTAGAAAGCAAATGGTTGTGTTTTGGTACGGTCCAAGATTAGATTCTTGGCCAATACTGAAAGACCTCTTCACTGTCAAATGAAGACAAAGGACATTATCTCATGCTTTACTTTACAAGCGGAAATCCAATTTATGTTCTAAATAAAAGCTACTCCGTGTTGAAGCCTCAGAAATATTTTGAGAATCTCACAAGGCACTGGCACAGATTATTGGTTGTAGTTTTTTTTAATAGGTATTACTTTATAAGGCTTGTATGGAATTTCCCCATTTACAGTGAAGGCAATGCATCTCTTCAGAATGGAAAATTAATTTCCTACGTTAGTTGATTCTGTATTTTAATACTGATTTCCATCCAAAACAACTTCTGAGGCTGGTGAACCAAGGGGTGTTCTCCCTATTTTGCAGATGAGAAAATTAAGGCTGTGTCCAGGTAAACTACTTGTCTGAAGTCATAAAGGAGATTGAGATAGCTTAAAACCTGTAGGACATTCAAAACACGTGTCTTGATGGTTTTTGACCTGTTTAGCTGGGCACCTGTCATATCCCTTAAGTAGTGCATTCCCAAGAGATTAAGCAAGAGATTAAGCCAGCTATGGTAGATATGTGCTGTCCAGTACGTGGCTATTGTGTTATGAGTCTGAAGAGCTGGAAGGAAGCATGGCTTCGCTGACCCACTTGCAACCACCGTGCAGCAGCCTTGGGGGTATTCAAGGAAGCCACAGTATGTACTGAACTGTAATCGTCTTGTCCAAAACTATCTATCCAGTCCTATCTACATGGAAAATAGTGGAGAAAAATCCTTGTGAACAAGCAATTACTTTATCCCAGACTTGCTTAAATGGATGGACCTTGGATTTCACCTGGTCCTACAGCCCACCCAACTTAGAACTTCCATCCATGGCGTCTTTATTAAGCCTTAGAAGTCTCCTAGCCATTTAGCCACTGTCTCTCTGCCAGAACAGCACTTATATCTCCTTGGAACAATGATTTCTTTAAAGCATATTTAAAAAATCCTCTACTGTGATTATTCTTAATAGTGCCTGCATATGTAGAGAAGAGAATCCTACATGGTTCTCTCCCTGTTATTAGAGCTTGAGGACCCTGCTCTTGCATTCTTCTATTCAGAACCAATTTAGAGTAAAGTAAGTAAAAATCTGAATGCAAACGAAAGAAAATATGTTGACTTTGCTATTGATAAAAAGTGATACCAGTTCACAATCACATCTGTGGTCCTCTGTGATAAATGTAACATGGAATAATCTCTGCCTCTAACTCCTCATTCTGTTCTTTAGATTTAGAGGGCAAATGCTTATATACAATGTGTATATATTATACATAAATGTATGTATAACATATATGTATACATATATAATATAAATACATTATATATACATATACGTATATATGCAGACTGAGTTAATACTCCTTATCACATACATGTCTATGAGGACACATGACTTCATTGTAGTAAATGTTATAAAGAGCTTTTGGTAGTGACAGAAATGTCTTTATCTGCTATGGCATCAGTCACACATGGCTGGCTACTGAGCATTGACTGGTATGACTAAGCATCTGATTTTGAATCCTATTTAATGGACTTAAATTTAAATAGTACATGCAGCTGCTGGCTATTTTATCAGAAGCAAAGTTCTAAGTGGATAAAGAGTTCAAGTAGCTTCATGTCAGCCAAAGTCTGGTTTGGCTCCCAATGACTCAAGTCACTTAAGATTTGCCATCAGATGAATTAGAGAAAATCTTTAATTCTCAAACTTTGGAGTTGTGAAATTTTAGGTAATTGGCATAGCCCTTTACTGGGGAATACAGTTTAAACTATTCGTGCGAGTTTCTCAAAAAAATGAATCCAGAGTTGGACAGTTACCCTTCCACACAGTGTCATCGGTGAAGATGGCACAAACCACCTGCCCTTCTACTAATGGGCAGACCTGACCCTCAACTCAAAGAAGAAGGGCAGGTTTTCTTGTAATAGATAAAAAGGGACTGGGCTGTTGTGCTTAGATTTTCCTTCCAACTGAAGCCATTGGGTGAATGCACTTCTTTTCCCTAAGGAATAAATAATAGCACTGCTTGTCCAGTAAAGCTGTGTGTGTGTGTGTGTGTGTGTGTGTGTGTGTGTGTGTGTGTGTATGTATGTTTATGGATACCTGAAAGGAGAAAAGAATACCTCAGCATTTTACCTTTGTGCAATCTCCCACCCACTCAGATTTCTGCTGTGGTCATCTTTGAGAGCAGGGCTCTCAGGTTGATGGATGCACATGTTCAGGCCTTTCGTTCCCATGTAGATTTCTTTTGTGAACATGACTTTGCATCTCTCCACATCCTTCTCCGTGTTTCTGCATTCTTGGAAGGGAAACTTTTTCTCCATTTTCATGGAAGCTACAGCAAAGACATGTTGTTGCTCTCATATCTGTCCATAGTCTCACTCAGTGGTTCACGTCAGTGTTCTTTTGGCTTGCTTTTCCAGACAAGAGGAGGAAATGTCTGCACCAGTAAATTCATATGAACCCTATCAGTACTTCCCCATAATTATTCCGACCTTTTGACTATCCTAATCATTTTCATGACTCATGATTTTTGAGAATCTATAAATAATCTGGAAAAATGCATCAGAAAATACACATATGTCTTTATATAAACATATACACACAGTTATTTTGATACCCTAAGAATATTATTTTTCCAGACTTGGGGCTTGAACTCAAGGCCTGGGCACTGTCCCTGAGGCTCTTTGGGCTCAAGAGTAGTACTCTACTACTTGAGCCATAACACCACAGCTGGCTTTTTCTGAGTTATTTATTGGAAATAAGGGTCTCATGGACTTTTTATTTTGTTGGTCATGAGGCTTGAACTCTGGGCCTGGGTACTGTCCCTGAGCTCTT